AGAAAGGCAAGTGGCAAGCCCTTGAAGCAAGGGGACATCAAGGTGACCTTTCCACTCCCGAGAACACAGCCATTAGACAGGTAGAGACCTGTGATAAGGACGCCTGTGATCTGCCAGGCCAGGGCTGCTCCAGTGTCTGGCACAGGTGTATCAAGAAACAACTCCCCTGAGGCACCCTCCCCACAGCCAGGGCTTAGAAAGGAAGTCATTCTGGGCCACAGTGGCAGGGTCACCTCCAGACAGGACAGAAATTCACAGGCAGGCCCTCACCTTTCTGCTCCCAGTGTTCCTCATATCTCTCTCCACTAGCCCAAAGCCATCAGGAGTGGGAGGGCCTGTGGCTGAAGCATAGGATCAGGCAGGAAAAGGAAGGCCTAGTGAGATGCCTAAGGTGACAGACATAGAAAGGGACTCTCTCTGTGGCTTTGGAGGCTGTTTTGGAACTAGCTCTTGTAGACCAGGCTGGTCTCGAACTCACAGAGATCCTCCTGCCTCTGCCTCCTGAGTGCTGGGATTAAATGTGTGTGCCACCACCGCCCGGCAAAAGGGACTCTTGCAGAGTGACAGTGACAATAATGACCTGCTCTTCATTCCCTTGAGCATCATGCTGAGCCCCTCTAAATAAGCATCCTAAGGGGATCCACAGACCTTGTCAGACACAAGCTAGGAGGAGGTCCAGTGGGCTTTCTTTTGTAGGAGTTCATTGGAAGGGGTCCTCACAGAGTCCATTGTCACTTTCTCCTTGCTCCTCAGCTGTATAAGATCCCAGGCTGACCTTATTCCTTCCCTGGCCCAGATTCAGGACTTATGTGACCACATTTCCTATCCCCTCCCCTCCTCTCCGTTCTCTCCCTCCCTCCCCCCCTCTCCTTCTCTAAGTCCTAAAGAGCCCACCTCTAGCTCTTCAGGATGCCCTCCCCTCTTTTTCCACAGTGAGTCACCTTTCTGTCCCTCAATACTGTCTCATGGCTCCTGCAATCTACTGAAACGGAGGAGCTACATACTATGTGATGGGTGTGGGGCTCAATACACAGCTATGACCACAGAAGACTTGGCTTACCAGGACTGTGTTTAACTAGGGATCAGATCATCTCGTTCCTGATACCTCTCTCACTGTCTTGCTCCTTTTTTGTTGTTGTTGTTTTAGAGGTTTAAATTCTATATATATGAGTGTTTTGCCTGTATGTATGTATGTATGTATGTATGTATGTATGTATGTATGTATGCATGTATCACATGTGTGCCTGATGCCCACAGGGGCAGAAGAGGCTGTCAGATTCCCTGGAACTGGAGTTAGGGGTTATAAGCCACTATGTGAGTGCTAGGAATTGAACGCTGTTCTTCTGCAAGACCAGTAAGTGTTCTTAACCCCCAAGCCATCTCTTCAGGCTTCTTGTTCTTTTACCTTCCCACCCAACCCAACATCTTAAGGCTCTCTTAGCTCTCTGAGAACCCTTAAGGGCAATCTACAAGAGGCTGAGGTCCTCCTCTCCACTGTAATAGCTCCACGCTTTTCCCTTCTTACCCCCCCCCCTTTACTCCAAGGTCTGAAGGACTGACTGGGGATGACAGGACCATCCCTGCTATGCCCACCCCACTTGAGCCTTCCCTTCCTGAAAACAGGATGTATGATGAAGGTGCCTCCTCTTCAATGAGCCAGGGTTGCTCCTAAGCCTACACGCACAACTCTGTCATCGTGCTAGACAAGCTTAGGCCAGGACAGGAGGCAGAACCTAGGCAGGGTCATCAAGGGGAGAAACAGAACCCAAAATTCTTGTCTGATCTGACATTATCAGAGTGCACACGTCAGCGCTGTCCTTGGAGTCCTGGAGCCCTCCACCAGAGCATTTGAGTAGTTGTCAAGGCCTAGTTCCCACACATCTGTTGTTCTCCGTGACTCAGTTTCCTCAGACACGAAATAAGAGAATTGGGCCAGCACAGTCCTCAAATCCCCTTCTAGACAAAACCTTCCTGACTTCAAAGCCAACTGCTGGCTTCTCCTTTTTATAAAACAGGTTTGTGAAAAGCCCTGGTCCCCTACAACACCCCAGTCCTGGAATAGAAGAGGAAGAGTACAGGAAAGGGGCAGATTGGGGTTACCAAAAGCAAAGGGACTTTTTCCTTCTGTTACCCTGTGTCACTGGGGACTCCCAGAGTTCAGGCTACAGGGAAGACTTGCCCAGAGAGGCAGAGACCATGCTGAGTCACACACCCATTACTCGCTAAAGGTTTCACCCCTACACCTTCCCTCCCTCCCTTTCCTGGACAGGCAGCCAGGAATGGCTGAAGCCCACCACAGTACCTAGGCCAGACTAGCCCTGAAAGAGAGCTGAGGGGACAGAACAGTTGCTCTAGGCCAGGGTGGTGGGAAAGACTTCCGGATGGGGGTGGGGGAAGGAATTCAAGCAGTTCTTGAGGATAGGCAGGTCTAGAAAGGCAGCAATGAGTCAGAGCACCTAGGGTGAGGAGGGACTGTGGAGAGAGACCCAAGCCTGTTTGGGGTGAACAACCTGCCTGCATAAGGCAGTGGGACCAGTCAACTGGATCGGCTAACACAAGGCCTAAAAAAAGGATACTGGGCTTGGTCCTCCTGGAAATGACGATTGGGTTTTCCCAGCAGGACATATGTGCCAAGTGGAAGAGTAGAGTTGGTGGCCAAAACTTCAGTTAAGATGGGTGTTTGACTGAAGTCAGACCTGGCGGGTGAGGGCAGGGGGAAGGACACAAGAGGGGGGGGGGGGGCTGCTGGAAAGAAGGATTGGCTGGGGGATAGGGACAAGTGGCAGGAAAGGAGTGATTCGGTGGCAGGGAGAAAGTACCACCGAGGAAATGGAAGAGCTGTTGGGGGATCGGGAATAATAGCATGGGAAATCCCACCCCACAAATGTACTAGCAGAACAGACAGCCTTTAAAAATAGCCTGGCGAGATCCTTCAGCCCACCCCCACCCCCACCCTACTGGCTGGCACAGAAGCAAGATTCCTTCCCTCTCATTCCTTGTCTAAGTGGCTCAGCTTTCATCAGTCAGCTCACCTTGCAATATTTGGCAAGTTCTTTTGGTCAGCTCAGTAGCCTGGGACACACTCCCCAAACTGCAGGCAACCCTATGGGTTCCCCTGGGGAGTCATACTCACTGCTCCCAAAGAGCCTGCCAAGCAAAGCAGCCAGAAAGGTAGACAGACCCTGGCAGACTCCAGGGAGGGTGGGAGGAAGAATGAAGCCATCTGCTCCATGGAGCGTGAAGACTGGTTGCTAGAGAATCATCTCTCATAAGCAGGAAAGCACCCTCCCATCTTAATAATAATAACCAGTGTCGTTAGCATTCACTGGGAACCCAGGAAACCGGCTGTCACACACAAGCTCACTTAATCCTCACAGCAATTGCTTGGGACTGTTATTATCCCCACTTATGGATGAAGAAACTGCATCTTTGAACCCAGATCCTTCTGCCTCTAAAGCTTGGGCTACTTCCTTGAGTTTCTCCCACTACAAGTCTCTCATACCATGGCCCTTACTCACTTCTGCCCATGTCTCCTCCAAAACCCCATTGGTTGATTCACTCAACAAGCGTTTGTTAGGTACTAAATATCAGGCAAGTAGCTGGGCAGGGGTTTTGCGGGTAGATTCATCCACCCATTTTTACCCTCTGGTGGGTGTCATCGTGGGATTTCATAGTGCAAACCTTAGCTTCCATTCCGGAGGGCTGTCTTAGCACCCAGACCAAAGGAATGGATACACTAATCATCTCAAGCTCAACTTCCTTAACCAAGACCCTCAGGTTTCTGTCCTTTTCATTTTACTTAATTCCTCCTTGACCATCAGGCTTACACCCCTGTGTAGGAAGCCACCTGACCCACATTGTTAATGATGGGTTGGAAGTTCAAAGAGTCAATATCCCTCTTTCCTTCTCTCCAACAAAGCCAGAACCAGCCTCGGGTCCCTGGATCCTCATCTCTTTCCAGTGTTCTCTTCCAAAAAGGCATAAGCAGCCCAAGTTTTAGAGGCAGACCCAGGGAGTCTGGTCGGGTGGGTCCCTCTGTGCTTGCTCATCTTCAGCCCTTCAAACCTTTGGAGTTACAGCCACCCCAGATTCCCCAGGACCTCTCAAATGCAAGTCTTTCCTCAAACCACCCTATCTCCTCCCCTGAGGGCCTCTACATAGCTTTTGCCAGCTGGGCCTGAGGGACAGGGGAAGGGGGTCAGGGTTAGAGGAGGATGGAGTAAACATTCTCACAGGGAACTCCTCTGGGCCCCAAGGGCAATGGCACCAAGCTCTGCCCAGCTTAGCTCCTGGAAGTTACGCAAAGCATGAGGAGGAGAGAGACACCAGTACACAAGGGTGGAGGAAAGGCTAGGCCCAGGAAGCTGTAGGAGAGAGCCGAAGCCGACCATCCAGACTTCCCCAAGCATAGCATTGTCCTTCCTGGGGAAACCTGTTGGTGAAGTCGTAGGCAGGAGTCTTATCCAACAAAGGTCCTCCTGAGGTCACGTTGGCTATCCCCCTGCCTCTAGGCAGGCTGTTTACCCAGTTGTTCCAAGTTAACTGGCTGAAGGATATGAGCCCTTCTGCCAGGGAAACAGAGGCCTGCGGCAGGAAGTAGTCTATGGAGCCATCCCAGCCTAAGGGGAGTAGGATTCATGTGTGGAAACCAGCTGTGACTTTTGTCCTTGTACTCCCACCTCCTCTTTGCCCGGCGTTCAGCAGGAGTGACAGTGATGTCACGGGTGTGGAGTGCCAGCCACGTGCTGGGTGCCAAGCAAAACAGCCAGGGCGAGTGTGTGTATCATCAGTGCCTGAGAAGGAAGGCCACCAAAAGACGTGAGTCTGGTGGAAAGACTTGACTGAGAAAGGGAGGCACCTTGCTGGATGGGGGCGGGAAGACTGGGATAAATCTCTGTTGCAGAGAGGACCAGAGAGAGAAGGGCCTTTCTGGCACTGAGAAGGGATGCCCCTCACCTTTCCATACTCTGCTTCTCCTAAAGCCTGTCAATGCCCCAGACATGAACCAGCCCAGGCCCCGCTACGTGGTAGACAGAGCTGCGTACTCCCTCTCCCTCTTCGATGATGAGTTTGAGAAAAAGGACCGCACCTACCCGGTGGGAGAGAAACTTCGCAACACCTTCAGGTAACGTGGCCCAGAGCCCAGACTCCTCTCTCCTCTGTTCCTCACCAAAATCCATCGTGTTCCAGTCAGTCAGGGCTCCTAGACCAGTATCCAAGGGGTTAGGGAAGCCCTGGGGGAGGGGAGATTCTGAACCCTGAATATAAGAGCCTGCAATCTTATATACCCTGAGACCCTTAGGAAGGATGGAGAGGAGGGACAAGAACCACTAGCCATTTCTGAGGGTTGTAGGGTGTTTCTGTCCCCTACAAAGGGTCTCGTGATGTCTCAGTCCTCTTATCTTCTCTCGGGGCTTCAGAGGACCCTTAGATGGTTGTGCCACAACATGGAGTGGTGGAGGGCACCTGAGCCCCTCCTCCAGACCCCATTCCCTGCATATCAAAAGGCACCAAGTCATCATCTCCTCATGCCTCATCCCCTCATGGATAGTTCTTCTTCCATCCCATTCAAAGAATTCCTAGAAGAAGCCCTAAATTCCTAGGCTGTACTGAGAGGCCTCACCAGCCTTAGGATTCTTCCCACTCTCGGGGTCCCTGGACTGTGATGGTGGACTGTGCAACCTTGCCTGGAAGGAAGGGGATATACACAGTGGCCCACACCTATACCCCAGAAGCCTGAGGCCATGGGCTTCACCCTCCCCCTCCCCAGACTTCCAGCAGACCTCACCCTCTCTTGCTCCCCTGGGGAAACAGCTGATTCAGTTACTTGGATTGAGGTCACTGGCAGTAGCTAAAGTGGAGCTGCAGGTGGAACTGGTTGAGGCTGGGGAATCACCCACTGGAGTCTTTACCAAAGTCCTAGACCAACCCTGCTCCTCCTGGGAGGCTCATCTCCGCTCAGCGGCATGACACTCCAGAGTGTGCTCAGTGTCTGAGCCCTGTCCCTGCAGCAGAGCCCCTCTGACAGGTGGGCTCAGCCAGTCTAAATGTTCCAGGAGTTTACATTTAGGTTGTTTGTGTGCTGGAGGGATGGAAGATCTGATGTTTTCCTGAAGGTTAGGGGTGGTTAGAACTATAAAGAGAAGCAGAAAACTAACAGTTCCCATGACACTGGCACCAGAGCCTTGAACACAGGCCGTGCTCCAGTGAATACTGGGTGATGAATGAATGAATGTCTGGAGAGCTAATCCTTCCCTCCAATTCCATCCTGGCCTCTGAGGCTATTGTATAAGTTGTCTGGCATCTCTTTCCAGCACTTCTTCCAGACTTCAGGTTGCTTTGCCTGACATATGGCAGAGGTGCAAGAAGGCTGGGCATGTGAGCTGTATTCCTTCCCCGGCCAGCTGTCTACCGGCAAGTCCAGTTTTCTCTGCCATAAGCAAACCTGTCAGAGCTCCCGGAGGGCTGTTGCCTCCTAACACAAGGCTTTTAGGTATGCATGAAGCCATTCGCCATGTCCTGGGCTCAAGAAGCACCACAGGCCCCAGAAGTGGCTGGACTGGCAGGCTGGTGGAGATGCCGTCTTTCTGTTCTGCAGAGTATTTAATCGGGACAAAAAAAAAAAAAATGCCTAGACTTTCCAGGATACAAAGCATTGTCTGTGTTGGTTTCAGTCTTGGGTGACATCCAGGGGCCCCAGTGTCAGGGAAACTATTGTTGAGCAACAGCAAAGAGTAAAGATTGGTGCGGGGCAGAAAAGGAAGCCTAATCAGACGAGGCCAGTGAGTCACCAGAGGAACCCAGAGCATTTGACTTCCCCCACTTGGGAGAAGAAAAGCAACCCCCGCCCCAAGTCATCAATCCACTGGCTGTCACTCTCATATTTGTAAGCCCTTGTTCCTGCTACTCATGAGTTTCCATGAAAGGATCTCAGGGTGCTCCACAAACAGTATCGATCAATACTCCTTACCCTGTTGGCCAAGAAATGGCTCTCACATCCTTCTTTCACTCTGATGCTTTGCTGGGGTGAACACCCAGGCTAGACTCACCATATGTAAAGGACTGAAAGTTGGCAGGGTGCACCTCACAGGAACAACAGAGGTTGCCCTTTTAGAAAGGTTCAAAAAGAAAGGGACTTGACACCTCAGGAAGACTGAGCTACCATAAAATCAACAGCTGGAAGCCCAGCCTCATAGATTCCCAAGCGGAGAAGCAGCAAGGATGCGCTCTCCAGTTTAAAGCCCGGCTTTCCCTCCGCAATAGCCTGCAGCACAGGATGTGCATTGCAGAGTGCACTGAGGATGAGTGAACTAAATGATGTGGGTGCTAACATTTCCCTGCAGCCTGCCCTCTTCTCCTACAGGTGCTCCTCCACCAAGTTCAAAGCCATTGTGTTTGGACTGTTGCCTGTGCTCTCCTGGCTTCCCAAGTACAAGATCAAAGACTACATCATCCCCGACATGCTGGGTGGACTCAGTGGGGGCTGTATACAGGTGCCACAAGGTGAGAGAACCCCCAGCCAGGCCTAGCTGACCTCCTGTCCTTTTCCCATCTCTACCCTACCATTCTATGACCTCTGTGAGCCAGATGCTGTCCCAAGCTAAGCCTCCCTCTCTTTTGTCTCTTGCAGGTATGGCATTTGCATTGCTGGCTAACCTTCCCGCAGTCAATGGTCTCTACTCCTCCTTTTTCCCCCTCCTGACCTACTTCTTCCTAGGGGGTATACACCAGATGGTGCCAGGTAAGGTCACTTCCCATCTCCACCCCCTCCCCAACTCTCCTTCCTCCCCCCACCCACCCCCACTGAGCATGATGACTTGGACAGGGCATGGTGAAGGAAGTTACATCTCCACCTTTATTCTCCTGGAATTGATGTTAATCCAACCTGAAAGGATGGTCGATGCATCAGTCCTGGGTCCTTGATGACCTTGGAAAAATGACTACACCCATGTGAGCTCAGTCAGTACGGCCTATTGCGTCTTCCTCCCAGGAAGGAGAGCTAAGTGTGACAGCACAAGCTATACCATATGCCATGCAGACCAAACAGATTGAGGCATGGCTGCTCTCAGCAGGCCGCTGCAGGGATATTTGGACCTGTCTAAGAATTGAGTTAGACCCTGAGGATACAAAGATTTTTAAAAAAAAAAAAGAAGAAGAAGAAGAAGAAGAAGAGGTCCAGTTCACAAGTGGCTCCAAGGGAGACAGAGGAGATGGAAGAAAAGAACCTGGACACAGGACTAGTTTCTGGTCCAGGCTCTGCTTACATTTCTGAGTTGGTGTCCCAAGAGATGATGTTAACAAGGATGTATCTGATCTAGGGAAGTGTCCTTGGCAGCTTACAGGTGATGTGCTGGCAGAGAACAGCCTAGGGAGCCATTCCTCTGGGGCTGGTGCATATTCCAGGGCTAGACCCCCTTGGTCATTTCCATCGGTATGCTGCAAACTTCTGACTTTTGCTGGCTGGGTGGGGCACTACAGGTACCTTTGCCGTTATCAGCATCCTGGTGGGTAACATCTGTCTGCAGCTGGCCCCGGAGTCAAAATTCCAAATCTTCAATAATGTCACCAATGAGAGCTACGTGGACACAGCAGCCATGGAGGCGGAAAGGCTGCATGTATCAGCCACACTTGCCTGCCTAACTGCTGTCATTCAGGTGAGGAGCCCAGCTCCCAGCCGGACCAGTGACCTCACCTCAAAAGGTGGCAGGCCACTTTATCTCTGCCTCAAACCCCCCAGTGTGGTATTAAAGCTATCCTCCCCATCCTAGGGACTAAAAGGACCTTAAAAATAGTTTAGAGTCTCCACCTGCCTGTGTGTAGCAGTGCCACTGATGGAATTGTCTTGAGCATAAAGTCTGCCCAGAGGCTTTCAGATGCCCTTAAGAGAAACCCTGATCTCTTCAAGCATCCCTCCTACCCCTCCAGCTTCCTCCCCAGCCCCGAGACATCACATAGCAGACCATCTAACCAGGGGTGCACAGGATGAAAGAGGCTCAGTGTGGCAGAATGCAAGGACATCAGCCACTTCAGAGAGTACCTGTCATTTAGTCATCACTCACCTAATGTTTTCTGGTTGCTTTGCTCTGCCAGGAATTGAGCTAGGCCCTGAGGATACAAAGATAAGTTAAAGGAAAAAAAAAAAAAAAAAAAAAGGCCCAGTTCAAAAGTGGCTCCAAGCCGGACAGAGGAAGTGGCCTTGTCAACAGATAAATTTGTGTGCTGTGGTGAGATAAGAGGCTCAGTAGAACCATGAACAAGTGGCTAAGGGAACCCAGGAAAGTCGTCAGAGAGGAGGGGACATTTGACCTGAGAAGGCAAGGACGAGTAGAAGTTCACTAGTGATTGAACAAACGTGCAGACTGCGCAGGCAGAGGGAAGAGACCCCAAAAGCACCAAGACCTAAGTGAAGCCTGAGTAGGAAGGGGACAGCAAGGACTTTAATGTGACTCAAGGGCAGAGGGTCAGAGGAAACCAGAATAAAGTCTTCAGTCTGTCCCCTTGGCAGCAGCTTGGGTTCTGTTAGCTCAGAAAGATGGTTGGCGGTGGAACTAAGGCAGGGATTGTGCAGAAGCCCAGGCGGGAGAGACAGAGTAGTGGCTGTGGAGAAGGAGATGATGGGAGTGGGAGGAAGAAACATTTTGCCAAGAGCACTACCAGCTCTTAGTGGCTAACTGTGTGTGGGATGAAGGCGGTGTGACTCTCGGGTTTTCAGTTGGGCAACAGGTGGTACGGGGGCGGCGGGGGGGGGGGGACCTTTATTTTAAGATAAAGGAACTGAAGCCAGCAGAGTGAAGTGACAGAGAGGCTAGGTACAGAGGGAGCTAAGGCTTTTCAGCCGGGATTTGTGTCCAGCATTTGGAGCAGATGACCCACTGCAGACTCTCGGCTTCCTTCCTTCCAGATGGGCTTGGGCCTCATGCAGTTTGGCTTTGTTGCCATATACCTCTCTGAATCCTTCATCCGGGGCTTCATGACAGCTGCTGGCCTGCAGATCCTGATCTCTGTGCTCAAGTACATCTTTGGTCTGACCATCCCCTCCTACACCGGCCCAGGCTCCATCGTTTTTGTGAGTCCGGAAACACCCTTTGGGGAGGAGCACGATGGGAGCAGAGTGAACTGTTCATTCTGATAGCTGGCTGGGCCAATGGGTAGAGAGGATCCCATTGGGTCCTGCTTGTGGGAAAGGGGTCGAACACAGATCCTCATGTGCTCACTGGGCTCTCTAGTCAATCCCTGCAGAACACAAGACCCCATTCCAGTGCCTCAGCTGCTTTACCTGGGAAGCCCTTCTTTTTTTTAGTTAAAACTCTTGACGAGAAAACGAAAATATGTCATCTTAAAGCCCTCAGCTCCCACATCAGGTGGATCCAAGCCCCTGTAACTCTAGCTCTAATGGAACTGGCGCTGTATCTCGCCTCCACAGGCACCTGCACACATGTGGCATACTCTCACACAGACACACACCCATGACTACAACGAGAAAGTACTTTGCCTTAGCATTCACTCCTGACGTGCCCTTTGGGAGAGGGTAGTTGGAGATGGGATGGTATTCACAATCAGGGCTGTGTTCTGCCTTTGTGTGTCTCCAGCGGTATGTCTCCCCTGGGCCAGGCACCCAAGGGCAGGGTAGTATGGAAAGAAAGGATGGGAGCCTGTGATGCTCTCTCCCTTAGACCTTCATTGACATTTGCAAAAACCTCCCCCACACCAATGTCGCCTCGCTCATCTTCGCCCTGGTCAGCGGTGTCTTCCTGGTGTTGGTGAAGGAACTGAACGCCCGGTACATGCACAAGATCCACTTCCCCATTCCCACGGAGATGATAGTGGTGAGGATCCTGCCTGCCTGGAGATGGGGTTCTGAGGGTCAGGAGAGGGCAGCTGGGAGTAGAGGAGCCCCTGTCCATCCCTCTATCCACTCCACTGGCAGCCAGCGGGACAGGAAGTCACAAGTGACTATGGTGTGCGGCCCACCGTGTGACTACTCAGGCTGCCTCATACACACACTGCCCTACGAAGGCAAGACAGTGGGATCTGGGAATCCCAGAGAAAGTATTTAGGAAAGACCCCTGACCTAGCCCCAACTAAGAGCCAATATCAGTTCTCCACTTTGGGTTTTGCAGGTGGTAGTGGCAACAGCTATCTCTGGGAGCTGCAAGATGCCCATAAAATATCACATGCAGATCGTGGGAGAGATCCAACATGGGTGAGTCCAGATCACTCAGAGGCCAGTCCCAGACTATTTTCTACCTAGGGCTCTGGTGGAGTTGAGAGGCTTTAGCTGAAATTAATTGAAAACTGACACAGAAAAGCGACAAAACCAGCCGTGCTGGCCACTTCATAGAAAGTGAGTCTCAATTGCTACCCTCCCAGTTCCCATGAGTTTCATGTACTGAATGCAGTCAAACCTCTCTCAGATCACTGGCTTTCAGCTTTGCTCTAGTACATATTCTTTTTTTTTTTTTTAACCTGTGCAGAAAGGGAGCCACTATGGTCAACCAAATTCTTTAAGCATCTATTCTATGTCAGGTACCATGCTGGATTCAGGACAACTGGGGCAAGACTTGCCCTAACAGGGGAGAGGGAGGCAAGACCTCATAGCACTAGAGGTCTGTGGGGGTCTAGAAACTAGTGTACAAAGAGTCATACTCTGGGCGTAAACAAAGGAAACCTTCCTATTTACTGGCTTGTTGACCTGAACAAGTTAATTCTCTTAAGCCCTGCCTTTCTCTTTTGAAAACCAAGAGTGATAGGACCTGCCTTCTGACTATACTGAATGAGATCACATGGGACAAGCCATGCAAATAAGACCCTGGCATACGATGGGGGCTCAGTTGCCCTCCTTCTCATTACCCCTAGCACTGCCTCTTTTTGGCTCCTCGGCAGGTTTCCCACTCCAGTGGTGCCGGTGGTTTCACAGTGGAAGGACATGGTGGGCACAGCCTTCTCCCTGGCAATTGTGGGCTATGTCATCAATCTGGCTATGGGCCGGACCCTTGCCAACAAGCATGGCTATGACGTGGATTCTAACCAGGTATCTCCAGCTGTCCCTGGCAGGCTCAGGGGTATGGGCCCACAGAAGCCTACCAATAATAGCTTAGGGGGTTGGTGATGTGACTCCATGGTAGAGTCCTTGCCTAGCATACAAGAGGCTCTGGGTTATGCCCCAGCACCTCACAAAGGGGAGAGATAGATGCCTTGGGACTCTGTTGAGGTGAGACAGTGAGGGTTGGGGGACTAGACCTAAGAGACTGAACTCTGGTTTTAGCTTTTTCTTTTTTTCTGTGGAGAGTCTTAGAGAATAGTTTACATGTTCATGTGTGCACATGTGTATGCAAATTCATATATATGTATGTGTGTGTTACATATGGAGGCCAGATGTCTTCATCCATGACTTCTCACTTTTTTTTTCTGAGTTGCTCAGTGACTGGCTATATTGCTAAAATAGTAAGCTCTGGGAATCTTCCTGCCTCTGCCTCCTTAGCACTGTGATCCCTGTTTGTAACAATTAAACTTTCTGCCAGCCACCCAAGCCCTGCTGCCATGTGGCCGCCCAAAATAACATACAGAGTCTTATATTATTTGCAATGCTGTTGGCCAATGACTAGGATTTCTTATCTGCTAGCTCAGTCTTAATTATCAACCATAATCATAAGACTTATCTTATGGAGGACACCAGCAGAATACATCCTGCCTTGCTGGGATCACATGGCGGCTCCAGAGCAGAGAGCAGGAGGAAGAGGAAGAGCAAGAGGAAGATTTCCTTCTTGTCCCTGCTTATATCCTGAGTCTGCCTGCTATGTCACTTTCTGCCTGGATCTCTTTACTACATTTCCCAGAATCCTCCTTGACTCCTAGTCCCACCTAACTTGCTTTCCTATTGGCCAACAGTACTTTATTTATCAACCAATATACACAGGACATCCCCCATCACCTGTTTACTTTTTTTTTAACACGGGTGCTGGGGACCTAAACCCAGGTCCTCATGCCCATGCCACAAGTGTTTGTCTGCTGAACCATCTCCCCAGCCTGAGGCTAACCTTTGAGTGATAGTTTGTGGTCATACAGCATCACAGTCACTTCCAAACCAGGCCTAAGACCCTCTACACACACAAATGGCTGTTCACATCTGACCGCTACTCCCCTCCAACCCTGCCCTCTCTCCACAGGAGATGATTGCCCTGGGCTGTAGCAACTTCTTCGGCTCCTTTTTCAAGATCCATGTCATTTGCTGTGCTCTCTCTGTCACACTAGCTGTGGATGGGGCTGGAGGAAAGTCCCAGGTGAGCCTTGTCTCAGAGGACCTGGATAGGAGTGGAAATGGAGCAATTGTTCCAGAGAATTCCAGGTGCCACAGGCATGCCATCCTTGCCCAGCTAGTTTTCATTCCCTGGGGAACAGTCGAGTCAGGAGCCATCCGTACCCACTCACACAGCTCTTTCTCCAACTAGGTGGCAAGCTTGTGTGTGTCTCTGGTGGTAATGATTACCATGCTGGTCCTGGGATCCTATCTGTACCCTCTCCCCAAGGTAAGCGCCCAACCAAGCAGGGAACAATGTCAGCCTCCAGCAAGAACAATCCCTGCGAGTGGGAGTAGTAGCACTTGATGGATTGCGATTGCCACTGTCACACTTGGTGTCAGTTGCCATAGGAAGTAAACAACAGAGACTTTCTTTCTCTGTTGTACAGGTGAGGGAGACTGAGGTTGAAAGCCAAACTTGTCTGGTGAGGCAGCTCACTGTGTAGGATTGGTTTCAACCTCTGGCTTTCTGGGAGCTTGATCCCGAGGCTGGAGGAGGATAGAGGGCAAGGTATCTGAGAGTACAGGACAGCCACACAGCCTCTTTCAAGGATGTAAGGTGTGAGCCATTCAGGGATGCAGGGAGAGGGTATATGTAAAAGTAGGCCCACAATGAACTGCACGGCTCAAGAGGCTACCCTTTCCAACTCCAAGACTGAGGGGGAGTCTAAGGACAGAATCCTGGAACTCTTGCTTTGTCCTGCTTGGGCATCCAGGGTCAGGTGTGTGTAGGAAGGACAAAATGAAGGGGATACTTCAAATGACACAAAGCAATGTTCTTCTCCAGGCTGTGCTAGGAGCCCTGATAGCTGTCAACCTCAAGAATTCCCTCAAGCAACTCAGCGACCCCTACTACCTATGGAGGAAGAGCAAGCTAGACTGTGTAAGTGTGGGAGATGCTCCCGGCCTCCTCTAACCCCCAAAGCTCTGGCTTAATGCAAGACCCTCTTGTCTGCTGTTCCCTAATCTCCAAAGGCTGAGAAGCCAGGCTTTGGAGAAAGCCATTTTGTGTTCAAACCTAACTCAACCACTCCCTGGCTCTGTAGCCAATAGCAAATTCCTTTACCTCTAGAGCTTCGGCTTCAACCTGTGAAGCGGGCATATCCAACTTTGGGATGGCTTATGAAGAGGATGGGATTAGCAAACCTCATGCAACCCGAGTTGCATTTGTGATCAGCAAAACATAGTAGCTATTATTTATTTATTTATTTATTTATTTATTTATTTATTTATTTTTGAGACAGGGTTTCTCTGTATTGCTTTGGAGCCTGTCCTGGAACTCACTCTGTAGTCCAGGCTGGCTTTGAACTCACAGAGATCTGCCTGCCTCTGCCTCCCGAGTGCTGGGATTAAAGGTGTGAGCCCAGCTGCTATTATTTTTATAATTTACTACCCACACCTTCCCTAATCAAAGGAAAAAGGTCAGTAAAAAAGCTTAGCACATAAAACCAGAAGGCCAGCATCCTGAGCAAGCTTCTAGACTTTTTCTTCATCTGTTTGTGGGATGGCACTGTGTTCTGCAGCATATACTGGCCCTAAAGATTAGATGTCTCACAATGGGAAAGCCCCATACGACATAAGCATCCTGCCACTGTGACTTCATACTTCAGCTGTGCCGTCACAGGCAGTGCTGATAATGGCTCCAGTGTATTGACAACTCTCCCTTGTTTCCACTTGAGCCCACCCACCATAAGCCAGAGATGAGGCTTACTAAACACTATCGAGGATGACAAAATCAAGGTTAAGTAAATAAATCAACAGAGGCAATGGAGAAAGCAAGTGCCAGGGTCTGGGTGGAAACCCCCTGCTAGGCTCCAGACTTCTGGGTTGTTCTGCCTCTCATAGGCAGAGGCTTGCCAACACCCTGTAGGGAAGGAAATCTTTAAAGTCAGGAAATGTGTGGTCCCTCCAAGGACTTCCAGTGAGTAATGGCGAAGGGAAGAAACGAAATGTTCTAATTCCCAGCCCATGCATCTGCTTTTACCACATGGCACCCATCTCCTGGTTATGCCCATAGTCCTTGTAGTCATATGGTGCCATGTGACTTAATCTTCACTGCACGCGTCTACAAAATCCCAGCAAAGGCCGATTCCTTCAGAGCCATTTAGAGGCTCCTAAGGTCTCCCTTGGAGGGCAATGCACATAACCCCTGCACACATTTTCTATTCAGGAGCTGAGTTCCCATCAATGCGCACACTACCTCACTGTCAGACAGGAAGAGGCTCACGTTCACACCTCACTGTCAGACAGGAAGAGGCTCACGTTCACACCTCACTGTCAGACAGGAAAAGGCTCACATTCACACCTCACCGTTAGACAGAAGAGGGCTCATGTTCACACCTCACTGTTAGACAGGAAAAGGGCCCACGTTCAGACCTCACTGTTAGACAGGAAGAGGGTCACACTCACACCTCACTGTTAGACAGGAAGAGGCTCATGCTCACACCTCACTGTTAGACAGGGAGAGGCTCATTTTCACACCTCACTGTTAGACAGGAAGAGACTCACGTTCACACCTCACTGTCAGACAGGAAGAGGCTCATGTTCACACCTCACTGTCAGACAGGAAGAGGCTCACGTTCACACCTCACTGTTAGACAGGAAGAGGCTCATGCTCACATCTCACTGTTAGACAGGGAGAGGCTCATTTTCACACCTCACCATTAGACAGGAAGAGGCTCACATTCACACCTCACTGTCAGACAGGAAGAGGGCTCACATTCACACCTCACTGTTAGACAGGGAGAGGCTCATCTTCACATCTCAGCAGTAGACAGGAAGAGGCTCACATTCACACCTCACTGTCAGACAGGAAGAGGCTCACATTTACACCTCACTGTCAGACAGGAAGAGGGTCACACTCACACCTCACTGTCAGACAGGAAGAGGGCTAACATTCACACCTCACTGTTAGACAGGGAGAGGGCTCACGTTCACACCTCACTGTCAGACAGGAAGAGGGCTCACATTCACACCTCACTGTTAGACAGGAAGAGGCTCACACTCACACTTCACTGTCAGACAGGAAGAGGCTCACGTTCACACCTCACTGTCAGACAGGAAGAGGGCTCACATTCACACCTCACTGTTAGACAGGGAGAGGGCTCACACTTACATGGGAGCACACTGCAAGACTAGGACTGATGACTCTCTGACCTTTCAGTCTTCTTGCAGAGTGGACTTCATTTTCCCTTCTGTGAACTAGGAAACTGGCTCACACAGCTGTACAATCCAGAACCCAGCTTTGCATCTGGGTGCATCTGACCCAAGGGCATGCTCTTCTTCCTCAGCTCATGCCATCTCTCAGTGCACACTTCTATCATCTATTAAAATAGAAGGCTAGAATTCTATTTTTAAAACTAGGCAGAGGACTGGGGTGGCTTGCAGCTCAATGGTAGAGTACTTGACTAGTTTGTGAAGCCCTGCATTCAATCCCCAGCTCTGGAAAAAAAAAAAAAAAAAAAAAAAAAAAAAAAAAAAAAAAAACAAGAGCTACAAGAGCTGCACTCAATGTAAGAGAAACGAACGAGCAAGCAAACCAAACTATCAGCACATTACTCATTGTAAAAAGTGAAGCAAGAATGGAAGGAGAGATCTGAGTTGGACAGGCTGACTAAAGCCATAGCTAATCCCAGAAGACTTCCTGAAAGGGGCAGTTTTTCTCCTCAGACTGCTTTTGACATCTCTCTCTTCACAGTGTGTCTGGGTGGTCAGCTTCCTCTCCTCATTTTTCCTGAGTCTGCCCTACGGTGTAGCAGTGGGTGTCGCCTTCTCCATCCTGGTTGTGGTCTTCCAGACCCAGTTGTAAGTGACAACTTCATCCCTCCCTGGCTCAGTATGGGGTTTCTTGACCAGTCTACAAGGGGATTCTCATGCAAAGACCTAGCATAGCACACTGTCTTCTGGGCCCAGCACAGGGATGCGCTGCCAGACTTCAGAAGTATATAACCAGCCAGGACAGTGGGCATAGATTAAGCTATCTGACTTCTGTATCCTAAAACCCCAGAGCAAACCATGGCTTCAGATGGCTAGGGATGAGGGTGAGCACAAAAGGAAGGGTAAGTAGACCCTCCCACGGAACCTTCTACAAACACTGTGAGAGCCTCAGTTCAAGTGAGACCCTCCCCCAGAGAACACTAGGTCAGAGGGTGGAGTCTGATCTTCCTCCAAAAGAAGCCATTAGTGCAAACTGAGGATGCCACAGAGGAAGGAGGTCAGGGTGTGGGCAAGGACAGTGCTGAGCATAGGAGAAACCAGGAAGTTCTGGCTTTGTCACCTATGTACCCTCCTCCCTTCTCTCTCCTGGGCCCCAGTCTGGTGGCTACATCAACATATGCCTAGTTTAAAATAGTCACGGACCACCTGGCACAGGTCCCCAGGACAGAAAGACTAACAAACAAGCCTGCATAAGGACAGGAGTCCTGGCTGATTTTCCTTGCCCCCACCCCAACATCACTCCAAGCTGCTAGCATCCTTACTCTCCAACCTCCCCCTTCTTCCTCTAGTCGAAACGGCTCCACACTGGCCCAGGTCATGGACACGGACATCTACGTGAACCCCAAGACCTACAACAGGGTACGTGATCCAAGCTTAGGACCTCTCTGCTTTACTCTGTCCCCTCCCCAAGACCTATCTGCGACCTGAGCTCAGTCTCCCTGTCACAGGTCCAGGAAATTGAGGGGGTTAAGATTGTCACTTACTGCTCCCCTCTCTACTTTGCCAACTCAGAGATCTTCAGGCAAAAAGTCATTGCCAAGGTAAGACTCCATCCTTGCTGAGCAGTAGGCTGAAGAGACAGTGACCAGAAGATGGAAGCAGAAAAAGGCTAGGGGCCAAGAGCAGGTCATCCCACAAAAGTAGAGGTCAAGATTGCTGTTGGTCCTCTCCCCACAGACAGGTATGGACCCCCAGAAAATATTACTCGCCAAGCAGAAATATCTTCGGAAGCAGGAGAAAAGGATGGCGATGCCCACACAGCAGAGGAAGTCCCTCTTCATGAAAACCAAGGTGAGCTGAGGCCAGGACCAACTCCATGCCCTTTCTGATCTTCATCCTGGCTCCCAGCCTGCAGCCCATTGAGAGGCAGGCAGGAAGTCTCTGAGAGCACTGCTGGGCATCTTCTGGGGGAAGGCTGCCAGCTGCCAGGGTAACCACTGCACCTATCTCCAGTGGGAGTTTCCTAGGTGCCCAGGCTGTGTGAAGATGCGAGAGTGGGCATGGGTGAGCACATATGGAGTCCTGCTGTCTCTAGAAGGGCTTCTTCTCAAGCAGAGTGGCCAAGGCTTCAGGCTTCTCTAGAAGGTTCTTCCCACTTGGATTGGGAAGGAGAAGCTTGCTGGCCTCCCATAGGAAGGCGTAACGATAACCCTTTCCTCCAGCCACCTGAGTTCCGCTGCCACGTAAGGGCCCCCCAAAAACAGAGTCTTAATTAGTTACAATGCTGCTAGCCAATGGGAACTAGCTCTTGTAGACCTGGCTGGTCTAGAACTCATAGAGATCCACCTGCCTCTGCCTCCCGAGTGCTGAAATTAAAGGTGTGTGCCACCACCGCCCAGCTTAATCTATATATTTTATAAAGGAATCACACAGCGATTCCTCTCTTTCCTATATTTCCCAGAATCCTCCTTCTCTCCTAGTCCCGCCTAACTTGCTTCCCTATTGGCCAACAGTGCTTTATTTATCAACCAATAAGACAAACATATACACAGAAGGACCTCTCCCATCAGGAAGGGGCTTTAGGGGAAGCCTGTACTCACTACGAAGCTGAGATGTTACCTGCCTCTGCTTGGGGGTTCCATGCCACAGTCCCTGACTGTCCTCTTCCCACCCACAGACAGTCTCTCTGCAGGAACTCCAACAGGACTTTGAAAGTGCCCCCTCAACTGACCCCAACAACAACCAAGCTCCTGCGGGTGACACCAACATATCCTACATCACCTTCAGCCCAGACAACTCAGCTGCTGCCCCGTGTGAGCTGCCCACCTCTGCTCAGTCCCCCAGGGAGCCTAGTGACACTTTAGCCAGTGTCCCACCCTTTGTCACCTTCCACACTCTCATCCTTGACATGAGTGGGGTCAGCTTTGTGGACTTGATGGGTGTCAAAGCCCTAGCCAAGGTGAGCCCTCGTGGGGCAGGGAGGAGGGTGTGTGCCCCTACCTCTGCTCGCTTCCCTCATTTGAAATAGCTGAGGGAGGTTCCAGACCCTAGGGACTCCTTGCCCCAGATGTGCGCAGGGCAGATACACTCTTCAGGACAATGAGGTGTTGGAGCAAGCTCCTGAGCTTGGGGTTCACCCACCAAGGCCATCCTGGTTCTTTTTCAAGTCATCAGTCCCCAGAACCCACCTTGGCTCCCCTGAGTGAGGCCAGTTTGGCCCTTGGTTCTGCTTCCCCTTCCTACACTCACCAGACAAGCCAGGAAAGAGGAAAACATAACACTGGTGTGTCCCGAACTTAAGCTAAGCAGGCAGCCTGAGAATGCCATGGACAGCAGGACCCATCTGATCACTTTTCAGTGCCCCTGAAATGTCAGTGTGACAGCAAACCTCAGAAGGGCTCAGACAGAGGCAAACCAAGAGATCAGAGGACGACACACTGTGTCCTAAGTGATGTCACTACCAGCCAGGGACAGCAAAGGCCTTTCCCCAGTGTGAGCTCAGCTGGCTTCTCTAGGCTGGACCTGGATCCCCTGATTTCACTGGCTTGCCTAACTGAGCCTTGGTCCTGAGCACTGGAAAGAAAGGCCATGGTAACTTCAAGTGTCTGCCACACTGGCAAAGCCCCATTTCCGCCCCACTTTTCAGAGAGGCCTTGGGCCAACACTCCAGAGAGACGTGGGGTGCTCTCTGCCACTCATGCCTGTGGCTGCCAGGGCCCTCAGGATTGCTTGTTTGTTTGCTTTCCTCTCTGAAGTGTTCCATGAACCACTTTTAAGACCCACTCAGAACATTCCTTTCTTTTCTCCCCATTTCCGTTCCCTCCCCTCCCCTCCACTGCCCTCTAGCTAAGCTCCACCTATGGGAAGATTGGAGTCCAGATCTTTCTGGTGAACATCCATGGTAAGAAAAGTGGGGGTTGGTTGGGCATTTAGGGGACTTAAGGCTGGAGAAGGGATGAAGTGGGGACAGGTTGCAAAGCATCCTGGGGGTGTGGTTCATGCGGTTGAGAGAAGACAGGATTATAATCTGCTTGCCACTAATTTGTGTGTACCTGACTCGAGTCAGCCAAGTCACCTTACTGTCTGGGGCCCATCTCCACCCATGTAAATTGGAGGGTTAGCTGGTTGATCTTGGAATACTTTCCAAGTCGGAAGAAAACCCGCAGACCCTAACTTCCCAGGGACTTGTCTCCAAACAGTGCTTTATGCAGCCCCAAGGCCATGCCTCAGAGCAAAAGACACTCATATGCCAAGTACAGGCAGCACACAGGGACCCAAGAAAAATGCAAAGGGGGTGCACATATATCCAGATACCACCTTGCAGGACTCTGCAAGGGCCCCACCATGAGCCTGTTCATTACTCTCACCCTCGATGAACACTCCCAGAAAACCATCTCCAGAATGTACTGTATTAGCCTGTCCTTGACCGCAACCATTTCTCCAATCCAAAGGCTTCCTTCTAAACTGGGTGGAGGGCTCAGCATTTTCAAGATCACACTGCCCTCTGCTGTTCAGAACTTATATTGCAGGGCCAATTGTCATCTTCACCCACCCTCCTCCCTCCAGCCCCAATCGACTACTGCTGTTACCTTTTCCTCACGTGACCTCCCTCCTTTCAGCCCAAGTGTACAACGACATCAGCCACGGAGGTGTCTTTGAAGATGGATGTGTCCAGCGCAATCACGTGTTCCCCAGCATCCATGATGCAGTCCTCTTTGCCCAGGCGAATATGAGAGGAGCCCCAGCACGCAGTTTCCAAGGGGTAAGGTCTCCACACCTGAAGAATCCTAGACTCCAGCGCTCACAAACAGAAGGACCAATGCATATTGGAAAGAAGCTCACCCTCTTGAATCTCAGTTACCCTATCTGTAGAATGGGCACCATCAACCATTGCCCTTCACTGTTTTGTACTAGTGGTGGGTACCCTGGCTTGGAGATTTCAGGCTGAGATTGATGGAGAGGGTGAGGCGTTTCACTTACTAGCTCAGTGAGTGGTGTGAGAGGAAATTACAAATAATGATCTAAAGCTTCAGAAGCTGAGGAGCCAGATCCAGCCTCCCCTTACTTGCAGGCTCAGGGAGACTAGCGGAGCATTCTGACTCATGAGCCTCGTCCACAGGGACTCTTGGAGAATCCTTGTTATTTGCCATTGCCATTTGCCATATCCAGTTATGTGGGTTCTGGGGATCAAACTTGGGTTCTTTGGCTTGGTGACATGTGCCTTTACCCACTGAGCCAGCTCTCCCACCCTTGTTTTAATATTTATAAATAATTTATATTAGACATATTCTCTATGACCGATTATAAATTATATACACAAGGTGTGCACACTCCTTAAAACAGTGGGATCTCTATGAGTTCGAGACCAGCCTGGTCTACAAGAGCTAGTTCCAGGACAGCCTCCAAAGCCACAGGGAAACCCTGTCTCGAAAAACCAAAACAAATAAATAAATAAATAAATAAATAAATAAATAAATAAATAAATAAATAAATAAATAAATAAATAAATAAATAAATAAATAAATAAATAAATCAGTGCAGAAAGGAAACTAGAAAGGGGAGTCTGATTATCCCATCTTTGCAGAATTCCAGAGAAAGGAAAGGAATTCTAAGGTCAGGCAACCTGTGCCTCCCTGCCTATAACACCCACAAGGGAGTCCAGGCCCTATGGGCATCTGCATTTAGCTGTGCTGTGTCATGAGGCAGGCAGAAGGGACCAGAGAAAGGGATGAGGGAAACATGGGGTCCTCTCAAATATCCTTCCTTCCACCTTCCACCTACCTCTGATACCCAAACTCACCCTGCACCCATTTCCTTCCCTTCAGGCTCCAGGAGATGCTGAGTTCTCCTTGTATGATTCCGAAGAGGACGGTCCCAGCTATTGGGACTTAGAGCAGGTGAGTAGAGGTGCAAAGAGTGAGGGGTGAGAGAGAAGAGGACCTGCTTCTAAATAAGGCGCTCACTGGCTGTCTCCTCCCATTCAGAACAGTAACCTTGACAGTGGCAAGGTTTCACCTTCATTTAATAATAGGTCTTGATTCTTCTCAGCTTAGCATGCACACACACACACACACACACACACACACACACACACACACACACACACATACACTCATACACACACACACACACATACACCCACACACTCATACATACACATACACACACATACACATACACACACTCACACACACTCATAAACACACACTCACACACACATACACATACACACACACTCACACACACTCATAAACACACACACACACACACACACACACACACACACACACACACTCATACATAATGCACATACACACTCACACATATTTACACATACATACATACACACACATACTCACACATTCATACACACACTCATATGCACACACATACACATGCATACACATACTCATACACACACATACACACTCATACACACATGAACACACGAGTGCATGCACACACAGCATCCTGTGGCATGAGAGAGCTTCTGGACCAAGTCCTAGAGAATTGCTATCTATTCTTAACTCTCCAGTGTGCCAACCCTGTGACCGTGGCATCACTGGGAATGTTAATATTACTGGTAAAATAAGAGATACCTAGTTAATCTGCCCCCACCCACGACTGGCAGTCATCTTTCATCAATTCATGAGGTGTTTATGGAATGCCTACTGCTTGTCTGACACTGTTGCAGGTGGGCATCAGTGAACCGAGACCCCTGTTTTGTGGAAACTACATTCTGGGAGAAATGATGACGTTTAGAGGCATAAATGAATTATTACTCCAACTGGTTAAGCATTTAAAACAAAAGCTATGCAAGACAAGCTGTCACTGCCTGCTTGGGGCCTGTGAAATTTATCACCATTCTAGAGCCCTGAGTTAAAGGAAAGCAGATGACTAAGTTTAGAGAAATCTGGATTCGAGTCTGTTAAAAATAGCATCTCTCTTCCCATTCCACAGTCCTCTGAGTGTGTCAGAGTGTTGATGACAAGCGAGGGACACCTGAGATCTAACAGGCTGATTTCTGTGCCCCCTTGGAATCTCCAGCATGTTAAAAAAAATTTTTTTAAAAACCCTAGATGGGACAGAAATAATACAGCTTATATAGTCTTGACATTGGTGTTACCCAGTGAGCGGAAAAAATGGAGCTGACAGTCAGAGAGGAAAGTGTTAAAAAAAAAAAAAAAAAAAAAAAAAAAAAAAAAAAAAAAAAAGCCCACATAGCACAGAACGCAATTCATGATTGGATGCTACTAGCACTTTCTGCCATTGCCCAGTACCAGTTCACATCTTATGCCAGCTCAGTGGCACATACAGTGTCACTCAGGATGCTCCATTCTGGCCTGTGGTTCATAGTGACCTCTGGGTTGCAGCCGCTCTAACTCCAGAAGGTCTAATGCTGCCTTGCTCTCACCCTTCCTTCTTGTGGTCTCTGCAGGAGATGTTCGGGAGCATGTTTCATTCAGAGACCCTGACCGCCCTGTGAGGGCCCATTTGGTTCCCATACTGCCTCCTGAGCACCTGCAATTTCCATGGACAATATGCCCAGGACCACAGGAAGGAACAGAGAGAAGAGTATGTCCATCCACCAAGGCTCTAGATCCTCTCTCGACTCCTTGTCCTCTCTCCTGACTTTCCCTCCCTTCCTGTTTCCCTGGGAGAGAGCTGTCTCAGCCTCTGCAGGCAGAAGCACCTGTCCTGGCAAGGATTGGCAAGGATGAGAGTCTGGTGAACCCACCTCATCACCTCCCCCTTCCCATTCAAGCCTGGGCCAGCAGTAAGCTCAATCTGCCCATCTACCTGTGCCCCGCCCACGGCGGCTGATGGACACCTTGACTTTCAGCCTTAAGAGAGAGCCAACAGCAGAAAGATAAGAGCAACTGTGTTGCACAGGAGTGCAGTTCCAATGGGTGTGTGGCCTGGGTGGTTTGGCCTCGGAGAGTTTCAGGCTGTCGTGGGACATAAGGATGAACTGGGTTAGAATGTTGAAGCTTGTCCTTCCAATTGCCTTATACTTGTCAGCTTTGTGACTCAAAGACACGGTACTGTCCCCAATCCAGGACTCTGTCTCTGTGCCCATTTCTCTCATTGCCCTAAGCCTGCTGAGACCTCCATTGCTGTCCAGCACTTCAAACTCCTGTGGGCAGTGGCAGGACCTGCATGACTGTCAGCACTACCTCTTCAGGGACAACCCACCAAGGAGCTGACTTGGCCTCTTGAATAACCTTGCCTGGATACTGCCACATTCTGGGAACAGGTGTCCAGCAGAATCCTCCAACGATACAGCTGCAGCTATTATGCACAAAATCTTTCGAGAATCCCTCTTTGTACTAGAGGCATGGAGAGGGGAGTAAGATACTAGTGCAAGCTCAGGACAAACTTGGGGGTCCTGGGCCTGACAGTACACCTCAGAGCCAGTATCGCCTCCCCTGGGGAAATCTGCCATGTTCATGTTCACTTGGAAATCAGCCTGTAGCCTGGGCTGTGGTGGGAGGTCCTGACAGGCAGATGAGGAAGTCCTGAGGTAATAGCTTCAGCACCCAACTGGGTACAGATGAGAAGGACTGGATCTCCCTCTACAGGGAACTCTTAACCATCTCAGGACCTTTTACCCCAGGAATTAAATTCTCATGAAAACAGGGAGGTAACTAGAGGCATCCAACTGTGGACTTGAAAATAGGTTCTCTCTCTCTCTCTCTCTCTCTCTCTCTCTCTCACACACACACACACACACACACACACACACACACACACACACACCTTGTAAAAATACAAGTACACAGAAAATCTGACCTCTCCTTGTTGTTCTCCAAGCTCCTTCAGTAATGACCCCTGTGCCAACAGACTGGGCTAGCCCTACCTGGGAAAGCATCCCACTTACTAACTTGAGCCTGACCTTTGTTATGTGTCCATGTGTTAAGTAAGCTAGTGAGCTAGCAAGTCTCCTCTCTAGAGTTAAAAGCACAGGGCCCTGGCAAGCAGCCAGCACATTCTTGGCCACAGCTGTTGCTTCTCAGCGAATCCATTATGCCATCTGGCTGCCAACGGAGCCCAAAACTTGGAAGGCTGAAAGACAATGTTATCTGGGATTCACTGTGCCCTGCACTCAAAGTGCCAAATTCCAGGAGGAAGAGAACCCCAGCCAATGACAACTTACCCTCCTCTACTCCACCTCCTCCAAAGTCTAAGAAGTCACAGAGCCCCAGGACATTATAAGTCCCTTTTGAACCAAGTGTCTAGATCCCATTAACCTGCAGGTCAGGCTGGGAACTAAAAGGGATTGCTGACTCACGGTGGCCTGGGGCTTGGGCTTGTTTGCGAAGGGGGCAAGCAAGCATCGACAACATGTTGAGACTATACACTCACAGAACACATGGTGGGAGTGTGATTAGAAACACAGGGACAGGGGTACAAAAAAGGGGCCAAAGAAACTCTACAGTTGCAATCCTGGGGAAAAAACGTAAATGTCACACAGACTGCTGCTCTGGACATGACTGAGGTAGGGAGGGAGGGTGCAAGGGAACAGAATAATCCAGATTTTCATAGCTGACCTGCCCCGGGAGGGCTGCAAACCTTACCTCTTGAGATGTTTGTATAATTTATTTAAATGCCAGTCTCCTTTGTTTTGGTAATAAAGTGGTCTTGAAATGTGACTGTGTGTATGTGAAGTGGTTTTAAAGAGTGGCAAGAAGATCCCTCCAAACAGCTGGCTTTTGCTCTGTGTCACCCTAAGAGGCCAAAGGGTTACAAGGTCATCACACACACACACACACACACACACACACACACGTGAGTCTCCTAGAAAGCCCCCAGATCTGTTTGCCCACCCCTAACAATGAACAATGAATATATTTGCATAGCCAGGCCAGGTATTGGTGGCACACACCTTTAATCCCAGCACTCTGGAGGCAGACGCAGGAGAATCTCTGTGAGTTCAAGACCAGCCTGGTCTACAAAAGCTAGTTCTAAGACAGCCTCCGAAGCCACAGAGAAACCCTGTCTTGAAAAACCAAAATATATATATATATATATATATTTGCATGAGTCAGCCAAAGAGCAGATTGGAGGGAGGAGACTAAGCTGCCAGGCCACTTATTCTGTGTCTGTTCTGAGAGACAACTCGGTGCTTCTGTAACTATGAGGGAAGATGAACAGTTCGGTGTAATACTGCACACCCGTAATCCCAGTACTTGGGAGATAGAGGCAAGAGGATCAAGAGTCGTAGGCCATCCTTGGCTATACAATGAGTTTGAGGCCAGCCTTGGCTACATGGAACACTAACAACACACACACACACACACACACACACACACACACACACACAGTCAAACTCTCCTCATACCTTCTGCTGACCCTCCCCTCATCAATTCTTCTCCATTTGTGAAGTGACTATTAGCGACCTGTACCACCACTACCCAGCAAAGCCTTCATTAGATGCAATCTGCCTTTCCCTCCCAAATGTGAGGCATTACACAGGTTAACAGGACTTCAGTCCAACAAGCTAGACTGACTGCCAACTTCGTTGACTAACTGTGGGGGAAAGGAGATAAAGGGACCAGAAAAACAAAGTGATGGTGGAAAGGAGATGGAAGGGGGATAGAGTGGAAAGAGACAGAGGGACCAAAGAAGAGACACCAAACAAGGAACACAGACAAATAACGAGCAGAGCGTGAGAGGAAGAGATGGAGTGAGCAAAAATAACAAGACATGGATGAGGGAGAACTCACGTGTTGCAGACACGGGAGTCTGGGGAGTTCTTAATGTTTAACATCAACTTAACCAGCTTGATTCTGCCACTCAGGACTGTGGGCATTTCTGCATTCTCTCCGTTTGAGTTTTAGATTTTCTTCTAGTGACACCTTGATCTTGGCCCAATTCTCCCAAGAAGAAAACCCAAGTACGGTTTTCTCTCCTAATTTCCCACCATTCTACCAGAGGCCAAAGCTGGTGGCGCAGGGCTGTTCCTGTGACCCCATGAAACAGTAGAGAATGAGACAGCAGTGGAGGGAAAGCCAACGTAAGAACCAGTTACACTGCTGCAAACTGTCCTGAAGGAACATTTACCTGTTGCCCCATTAGTCATGGGTGGTGGGTGCAGTTTTTGTAAGAAATGCCCCTCATGGGTTCATGTGTTAAACTGGTCCCCAGTTAGTGGGGTAGTTATGAGTGGGGTCTCGCTAGAAAACGTACATCACTGGAAGTGACTTTGGGGGCGCTTTATAGCCTCACCCCCTACCTCCTGCTTTCTCTGTTTTCTATGTGGAAGTGAAACTGCTATCAGCAAGCTTCCTGTTCCTACTGTCATGCCATGCTCCCCCACCCCACCCCCCATGATGGATTCTAACCCTCTGGAACCATAAGACAAAAGAAACTCTACCATAAGTCACTTTTGGTTGTAATGTCTTATCACAGCAACAGAAAAGTAACCAATGCAATGCCTTGAGCAATGAACTCTGTGATGACTACAGGCAGCATGGCTTTCCAGGGTGTCCCATGAAAAGACATCCACCAGGAAGGGATTGGCAGGTAAGATCACTAAGAACTCTCAGTCTACAGAGGGGACACACAGCAGCATTCCACCTTTAAAACCGGTTTCTTGTGGGTTATACAGCTGTACCATCTATAAGATGCCCAGCTAGCATGCTAAACTGGAATGCAGTACTTTGAAGACTGTGGCACCCCTCTCATAGGCATCCTCAACAGGCATGCTGTCAGAGGAGCCCAACTATAGAAACTAGTTCATATGTGCCAACAGTACGATCTCCTGACTCTGAGGCTGAATGGTATAATAAATTACATGATTGCCTCCCACTTTGGGGGTTTCATTTCACAATTTTTAAAGACAGTTTTTGTTTTTAATTTTCTATTGGGAAAAAACATATTAAACTAAGAACAAGCTGAAAAACCAAGAATAATACCACATCCTTTTTGCTTGCAGATGGAGTTTCTGTTCTGCCTGGTCCCACAGCTGCTTAGCCCCAAATAAGCACACAGAGGCTTATATTAACTATAAACTGTTTAGCCAATGGCTCGGGCTTCTTATTGGCTCACTCTCTCTTAATTATTAATCTGTATATCTCCCATGTGGTTTTGGTTTACCAGAGAATGCTCCAGCATGTTACTCCTTTGGCAGCTACATGGTGTCTCTCTGGAGGCCTCTCTATCAGTCCTCTCCCCAGAATTCTCCTTCTCTGATAGCCCCACCTATATTTCCTGCCTGGCTACTGGCCAATCAGTGTTTTATTCATCAACCAATAAGAGAAACATATGTACAGAAGGACACCCCCAACCATTAAACAATTCATCAAACAATTCAATAAGAGAAACATATGTACAGAAGGACATCCCCCCCCCATCATTTGCTCTCATTCATCTGTTAACATTGCATTCATTTTATTTCATTCTCATTCTCTCTATATATATTTAGGTACACATAACTTTTTTCTGAATCATCTTGGTGGAAACTTCTTGTGATAAGTAATCTTG